ATCCAGGCAGTACTACGAGATGCTGTACAACACGGCGGACGAGCTGCTGAACCTGGTGGTGGACCAGGGCGTCCGCTACACCGAGCTGGAGTACATCAACGCCCTGTCCCTGCTCCACCGCAGTCAGACGGGCGTCGGGGACTTGAGCACTCAGAACATTCGGCTGCAGAGGCTGAAGGAGATCATCTGCGAGCAGGCCGCCATCAAACAGGCCACCAAGGACAAGAAGATCACCACGGTGTAATGATGAAACGAGAGCACAGAGGCGTGTTGAGTTTGCCTGGGAGTCAGAGAACGACGAAAGAGAACAGCGGCGCATTTTTCCATCAAATAACCTCCGTCCTACATGAATTTGTTTTGAGATCTCTCGAGCAGGAACACGCAAAGTAGATAATTGGGTCATAAGACTGAGGAGTGGTGGAGAACAAGTGGCGGGATGGGAGATATTTGAGAATTTGCTTAGAAAACACTGAAATAGACGCTTGCTTTTGACGTGGGCTCGTAAAAATCTATTGATGGAAAGTGTGTCTACTTCATTTCATCTTTCCTTATGTGATAAAGCACATTGTAGTCGAGGGTTGACATAGATATACTTTTTCCAACTTTGGATTGGTATATCTATATATAGTTATATATATATAAAGAGATATATACACTGTTCTTTCCTTTACAGCGCTGACTCACTCTAATTGGGAAGCAAGGTGACAGCCTGCACTACGACAAACTTTGCCAGTCTAGTTGCCCATGTGTCTGTGTCATAAGCTAACCCAATTGTCAGTTTCCACTCCTTAAAAGACATAACAAATGCAGCGCGCACGCTCAAACTCCAGCAGTCCTCAGCTCATGACGACTACAGCTCCAGATAAAAGGCGATCGTGTCGGACTCTAACCCGAACTTAGGCCCTATCTCATCTCATTTTCCTATTAGATCTAAACTGCTGCTCTCAATTATACCTCTATCTCTCCTCTCCTGGCAGCCCCATGGGCCCACTGATTCTGTCTGCAATAACAGATGCCAGATTAGACTGTCTGAATGAGGCCACATCTTCCGCCTGCTGCCAATTTGGGTTGGTCCCCAAAGATTTCACTAGCTGAGAATTGTATCATATCTATGGTTGTTAAAAATCTGTTTATCAGTCTTTTTTTTCCCCCTCATAGTTTGTGCAGTAAACTTGTGTGGCTATTGTGGAAAGTTGGGAGTAAATTAACATTTTTTTTTTTGCCCGGTGAGACTCAGAAATGAAGATGTTTTGCTGATTTCGGTTTCATCCTTCTGCAAAACAGGGACAAGGTTTATTTCAAATGCCGTGTTTCGAGTCGAGCGCACCACAGTTGAATGACTGGCACATTTTGTGTTAAGGCGTACGCGTGGGGGAGACGTTTCATCCGTCATACTGGCTCTGTCAATTGAATCTATGCAATTCTGAATCTTTATTCCGTCGTCCAAACTACTAGTGCATGCGCTAAAGTCTTTTAAAGGGAACAGAACGTATAAACTCCAGAGACGATCACAAATCATTGCCCTCCCCGCAACCCTCCCTGTTTTTTAGTTCATTAACTTGGGAGAGAAGTACTTAACGAGAGGAGGAGAGGGGAATGGGAGCCTTGTCAATACAGCAGGCCCAGCGCTGGTCTCCCCGAAGCCCACAGAGCAATCCATCATAATGACACATAGGCTGGGATCGATGGGAAAACAACTGTGGAGCTGCTGAGTGGTTCGCCTACCACTCCGAAACGTACACTCGGTGTAAAATCTAAAATCTGCTCATTCATCTGTTCACTCCGGAGCTACTTTTGTAATGTTATACATGGGAAACTTTAATACAATGTTAACTGACTGTGTCATGCCACTCACCGATACCATTACACCGCTATCACACTGCACACACACGGCCCATAAAAGTCCAGAAGGCTGTACGTATTGTTCACGCTCACATATGCTCGTAGGAACCGCGCCTGCTTTTCATGCTTTTTGTTCTTGAATTAAATTTGTAAAAACTTTTTTTTTTTTTTTACATTTGCTCCTCACTCAACTGCTCTTGTGTTTCACGTTTGGATTTCTTTGCAAAGGGCCTTTATTTTACATAGGAATGTATGTTGGATTCTCATAGATCAAACTGTCTTGAACGAGTTTAAATGCGTTCTTCTAGTTGTCAAGTGTAAATGCGCTGAAATTTGTCTACTCTGAATCGAGCACACACAATTTGTCAGTGTATACACTAATATACAGAGAAACAATAAATTCTTCAAATTCCAGTCTGTTTCATGTATTTTTTCCCCCCTGTGTTTGCACAACAGCCATATTTTCCACTAGGAATTCATTCATCCACCTGGAGTTCGCCTTCTTCCACGCATGACAGTCTGTCGATGTTTTGATGCCGTGGAGATGTTTCTGGCCGTGTATCGTCAGATCCAATACCAACACTAGAGGATGTACTTAACCTGATAGGTGTGATGTGTTGTGTGACATGGCTTTAAGCATGACGTGCTAAAGTGTAGCATATTGGAACCAGAACAACATACCACCTGAAGGCTCGTGTTGTTGTGGGCATAAATCCATATCTGGTGAACTCTTCTTCTCGCAGTATGATGGATTTGCAAAGCCTAACTGTATTTATCAGCCCTGTTGTGACTAATGTCATGGAGACCTGGTGCAAAACTTAAATGCAACAAAGGGTTGACTCAGCAGTGGAACATCTTGGGTTTACATTCGGGATCAAGTGATTTTCAGATCTGATATTCAGCATTTTTCTGATTGTCAGTATTGGTTTGTTATGTTTTTGTTGTTGTTTTTTTTAATGCACACTTGATTAAGTAAATTAATTTTCAAATGCAGTACTTCAGCTCAGATGCAGCCTTAAGTCGTTACCCGTAGTTACCACTCTGTGTTCTCAAACAATGTCCTGTGTTCTATTGATTATCCTAGTATTTTACCAATTTGTTGTTGAATCTAAAGTATTAATTTTCCTCCAATAAATCAAAGCACCCATTTCATTTCAAGTCATTTTATTTTGGCAAACTGTTCATCATTGCGTATTGGAGCACAATTAAAGTGTAGTCTCAGTGTGCTAGATTTAAGTCACTATTTCTTGCTTGTTCTGTTGTTTGACAACAGAAACAGTAAAGTATGTACTCAGCTGTATTAAATTACTGTATATGTGCACAGAGAGCAGGAGAGAAGCGTCCATCCATCCATCCATTATCTATACACCGCTTAATCCTCATTAGGGTCGCGGGGGGGGGGCTGGAGTCTATCCCAGCCAACTTAGGGCGAAGGCAGGGGACACCCTGGACAGGTCGCCAGTCCATCGCAGGGCCAGGAGAGAAGCAAGTAGCTCCTTTGTGTTTGCTTTTCAGATGTGTTTTGCTGTTTTGCTGTGCTAGCAAAACTTCTGTATGGTTTGTACACGTCTGCATAGTTTACCGTCTTTCCATTCTGTGATTATTTGAAGTTCTACCATACTTTGAAAACTTTTACCCTGAACCACTTTACCGCAGTTGTCTAAAGCTGTAGTGCTGACTGCAACTGACTGCAGTTAAAAACAATTGTCATCATGATGCACAGTGATGCTGCAGGTCAAGATTTGTTATATTAAAGGTTAACAAAATAGCCCATTTGTATTGATGTCATATGGCACTGACACTATCAATTAGTATGACTTAATGCATTAACTGATTGTTTACATGTCACAAGCAACAGCATATCACCAATAAAGGATAAATGTTCAAAAGTTGTCATTTAATTAAACATATAATGAAAGCTATGCAGAAGGATGACGCTAGATATGCTCTTCTGTTGCGCACAACACAAGTAGACGCTTTTATTTTGCCATAAAAAAAAACAATAACATATGTTAGCAGTGGCCGGAACACATCACACAGACTACACGTCTCACTCGCCGTGCTACCAACACAACACTTACTAACCCGTCTCAACCAACTGAACCATAAAAGCACAATAAATCAGAAACGCCAACAACAATGCTGAACAACATGAACCACAATAAACACCCCAAACTCCCATGGTGCATTGCAGCACAACCATTCAGTCTCAGCATATCCGGCTCTGGGATCGCTACGATATGTAAAGCATAAACAAACAAAAAAACAACAACATTTCAACCAAAAACAAGTGGATTTTGTATTATTCTAAATTTTGACACTAGAATTTCCGTATTAAAAGTATATAATGGCTCCAAATATACAAATATTGGCTATCAAAGCATCCAATATGCCCTGATATCCAACAATCATTATCTCACTTTAGTTTAGATTCACTTTTTTTTCATCTGGCAAAAGGTTTTATATCTTCAAGTCACCGTGTATCAATGAAAGTCAAACTGTGTGACCAAACATTCTCTCTTTTTCCCACAGCATTGTTACAGTAAGAAATCAGTTAATATGAAATTGTTCCCTGTAAGTGGCATAAGCTAGTGAGCTCTTAATGTGTTACTTATTGATGATGTTAATTGCAGGGATAGTGAGGACACCTGCTGAGCGCTGACAAGCTGCTAGAATCAAATCCAAACAGGTGCTCCCTTCATTACTCAGACCAAATGGCTGCCTGCTGCCCTTTGTATACACCCTGAAGAATTAACCCGGTGGGGCTTCAACTTCTGCCTCCCTAGCGTCAGCACGTCTACTCCAGGATTTAGATATATTTTCTTTTAACTCTATAAGTCCTTACTTTTTTCTCTTTTTGCTTAAATGCGCACAGTCTCAATGAGTCAGTGACGACAAAACTACAAGACCCACAATGCATTTCACTTGACACTTGTTGCCTAGCGATGGAGGCGTACGCTTGCTGTGAGAAGCTAAAATGCTAGCGGTCTTGGTTTTGTAGCTACGTGGAAGTTTTTACTTTTCTTTTTTTTTTTTTTTTTTAAACACAAATGCCTTACTTTTGGCTGCTTAATAGTCTTTCACCGAGCTTTTTTTTTTCCTGAAATAATGAAGGAAACAAGTCCACAGCTTTCTTCCTCGTCGCCTAGCTGCTGCTCCCCAGGGTCCCTCACCGACGCTCCCTCGGCAGAGACCCCCAGCTGCGGGGAGACACAGGACAACACAGGGATGGAGGTAAGCACAGCACATACGAGCCGGTGAAACTTTGAAAGCTACGTGACATTTAGTATAAAAATGCTCTTTTATTGTCATTACAAAAATTGTACCTGAGCTGTAAAGTGTCATTTTATCAAAGCAGAAGTTAAAAAAAAAAAAGAGAGAGAGAAGAGAAACAGGCAGAGTGGCTGCATTTTAAGGACGCATGTAGAATAAAACCATCCATATTTATTCCGTTGTGCAACAGGTAAAGCAGGTAACCTTGTACAGGCGGTCTGGGGAACTAAAACTGCACAGCAAGGTCAAATGGTTTATTATTTGCAATTTGTGATAGCAGCCTTACCAGCAATTATAGTGTTGTGCATCCTCTCTAAGTTGTGTGTGAGTGTGTGTAGTGCATGCATATGTGGTTTTTTTTTTTTCTGGAAGCAGTGAGCATTTGGTGATGCTTATAGTGGCCTCATGCCAAGTGAATTGTTTTCTGCAACTACACTGATATAGCAGGGATGCTTGTAGCTCTGTGCATGCTCGGTTCATGATTCTAATTTTTTTTTTTTTAAATACGTTTTATTTGTTTGCATAAACAGAAGGATGGTGTTTTAACTGCTCAGATGGTCTCCAGCAGTGTATCCCAACTTGGACACTTTGGCACCGGGATGCAACGCTCATACCACAGCCTTTCTCTACCTGTAAGATGCACATAGACAAAGCAGTCCATGACAATCACTTTACGTTGACGTCATTTTTTCAAAGTTTAAAGTTGTTCTTTTCCTCTGCTCTAGAGTCACAATCTCAGTGACATATCTGTGTTATGCAATTATGTCTATCTTCAAAAGCTGGAGCTGCCACACAACAAAATTAGAGGTGACTTTTTGTTATTCCCAGATTAAGTAAATGTCCTTGCTCTTCTCGTAGAAGTGTGTTACATCTCTGTTTTTTTTTCTCTGTTGCTGTCTTTGACCAATTCACCAAACTTTCCTACCTGCTAGATTTATCCTGCGTGAGCCACATGCCCTACCTCGTCATCCTGGATGCCTCTCACAACGAAATCTCCAACTTCTTTGAATTCCAGCCACCCAAGAACCTAAAGGTAACGCAGGACCTTGAGCTGACAGGATAAGACAACATTTGATTGGTGGCTTGGGCTTCATTCTCACGCGCTATTCCCTCAAGATAGGCCTGGATTTCCATAGCCCATCTGTAGTCACTTTGAATATGCTTACAAGGCATTTACTGCCCTTGAATGACAGTGAACTTTAGAAAATTCTTTTCCATACTCTGTGGATTTAGTTGGCAAATTTCTTTAGTCAAATGTACTGATGACTTTTGTTTACACTGTAACCGCTTCTTTTTTTTTTTTTCAGGAGGTCAATTTCTCCCACAACCGCATGATAAAAATGAAGGATTTGTCAGCCTATTTGTCACTTAGTAGACTGGATCTGGACTGTATCCTTATGGAGATACATTTACATTCACCCATGTGGATTTAAACTCTTCACCTCTTTCTCTGTCACTCAAAAATATTTGTGAAACCCCTACAGCATCTTTCTTTATGTTTGATGTCTCGAAAAATTTGTTTAACAAATGCTCACCTATATTTTGCCCTCGTGTATTATTCATAACATGCCCACATTTAGATAACAGCTTCCGTGAGATCAGTGGACTTGAGCAATGTTGCAAGCTGATCCATCTCAGCCTGGCACACAACAGGATCTCAAGGATCAGCGGACTGGACAGTCTGCCTCTCAGACACCTCTGCCTTGTAAGGTTCTTCTCTATTACACTCGACAACATGAGGTGCAAATTTGTACATTTGTCAAACATTTTTACAGGCCGTACATACAACCACAGGCTTACAAACGTGCATTTTAAACAGAAATCTCATGTGTCTTCCCCTGCTGTTGGCAATATTTTGTGTATGGCATTGCTGCGCATGAGGTTGTTTCCCTCCATGTGTCGTCTGCTCTCATACACACATTGTTGTTGTTATTTTTGAATTGTTCCTCCTTGTTTGTATTTTACCTCATGTATGCTCAATTTCACCTGTTTCTGTTTGTCTCTTATTTCCCCTCTGTGTTCTCTTTATGTCTCTGTTTTTGGCTACATTTTTACATTCAGTAAAACCTTGGCCCCTTGTTCGAAAATCACCATATGGCCCAACAGCAGGCCTTGTCTCTCTCTCACTCACTCACTCTTTCTGCTTGTGTGTGTGTGCGCGCACATGCGTGTTCTGGTCCTTTATCAGTGTTTCCTCATTGTCAGCAGCCATCGGTCTGGCTGTGTCTGCCCCTGTCTGTAGCTTTGCTTTGGGACCAGCTGCTGGTGTTTGAGTGTGCCTGGATCAGATTCAGTGTACGCACACACACTCACGCATACCATGTCCATCCAGCATCCATCTAATCCCATTCCTGACCCCTCTTCCTCACACGCTGCCTCCCTAAACAGCACGGCACTGTCAGCCAGCCTGTTTCCCAACCCATCACAGCAGCGACCCAGTGCTTCAAGGGACCAACACAGCTACCCACCCCCACTGACAGCAGCCCTCTGCCAGGCAACATGCTTGGCAAGGGTAGGGCGAGGTGTGGCCAGACGGCTAGATAACAACTTTTGTCAGTGGAATGGAGTGAGAATCCGGCTGGGGACCCTGACAAGGGAGGAGTGCCCAGGTCTTGTTCTTTAGCTAGTTTGCGTGCTGTGCTAGCACCATGCCAGCTGTTGGCCTGTCAGTCCTCACCTGTCAGGATTTAGCAGAGAAGCAGGCCTGCCACTCAACTCAGTACTGATGGGAAAGAAAGTTCAGGCACCCTACAGAACGACCATGGCATGTCCTTAATATTTATTAGTGAGAATCATTGACTGTATATGAATCAGAGCTGTCAGTGGGAAGCCATTCATGTGCATGCATATGCATGAATGCAATGCACTTGCCTCTTTAAAATGTGCCCTTTTTCCTGTCTGTGTCCAGCGGGGGAACCAGCTGGAGACAATTGAAGGGTTGGAGAACCTGAAGAGCCTGCAAGTTCTCGATTTGTCTATGAATCGTGTCAGCAGTCTGTCAGGCCTCCAGAATCTCCACCTATTGGGCTCCATCAACCTGGAGAAAAACCTGGTATTGATCTGAGAGAACCTTCATAAACAACTGTGTAAACTGTGCACATGTGCATATATAATAGCCTAAATCCTGCATACTGTAAAACACATTTTAATTAATTGGATTCAATTCAAAATTAGAATTTAATAGCCTATTAAACAAAGTACATGTACTACAGGGAATTTGCAGATCTGATCCTGGAAATTCCCTTTTAAAGTCAAACAAAAATGTTGTTTTGGTATCCCACATTGTGTGTCATTGTGATGTGTTCGTAGTTAGGTGTCTAGAGTTGCTGTTTAAAGACATTTAAACAAGATGTGTGGCAGTCTTATGATCACACTTTATTTTAGGCCACCAGGCAATTCATTTCTGTACCATCATACAAAAAAGACTAGCCCATGTACAGAGTTAACAGATTATGAAATGTACTCTTAATGATCAACGTATTCTCATATAAGCAAAGTCTGATGCAACATCAAAATTGTATTTGACAAAATGGTAGTCGCAGACAACATAACAACATACAAAGTTCTAATTTTAGTAACTACATTGGAACTATAACTCAACGTTGCCACAGCATAAATTTTTGTCTTGATTTTAGATAAGTGAAATTCAGGAGTGCAAGCACATTCACAATATTCTCCTGCTGAGAGACCTGAATCTGCTGAGAAACCCTGTACAGGTAACGGTACCTTTTTACTGACTGCAGCCTTCAACTACGAGAACAATTTTGGACTTTGTGGAAATATGCTGTGTGTGACAGAGGTCCACTTTCCTTCATGCATTCTGTACAAAGCTACAAGCTTCAATGTAGACTTCCATCTGTATGTAGCTTTTAAAAGTTGTTGGTATTTTATCCAGGCACCTCTGTTAACTGTAATTGGTTTAATATAATTTTTAAAAATGTGATTTATAATGCCTATCATGTGAATGTAATTCGTAGGAACAACCTGATTACAGGCTGGCAGTCATCTTCCTCCTTCAGCATCTGACTGTGCTGGATCAAGAAATAGTCAGTGCTGAAGAAAAGGTATGAATAGACATGAAAATGATTTGCTTCATTTAACAAGCACAAACATGTGTATTGAGATGCCTATAATCTGATACCATTCTACACAGCTAGAATGAATCCCACCCACCTCATGCAACTGGTATATTCCAAATTGATGTGTGCACTGCTTCACTGCTTTTATTACTACTAACTTTAAATCCCAGGTGTCCTCAGTAAACAAGTATGACCCTCCTTTGGATGTGGTGGCAGCCAGAGATCACATGACCCACCTTGTGTATCAGCTGATGCAGCCCCAGGTCCTGTATGACAGGTTCGTGAACAGATGAAGCATTGTTTAACATCCTCACCATTAAATGATACCCACTTTATGTATTTATTACATTTCCATTGCTGATTTACTTTGATGTAATATTTTGGGTAAGAAACGGGCACTACGAATCCTAAACTCTCAATACAAGCCAGATGTGATGTTTAGTTATAATTACACTTGTCTTGTAAAATAAACTACCAAGAAAGTTGTTTTCAGACTTGAGCAGTAATTCATCTGCAGTGCTCCTGTATCGCTCATATTATCTGCTCTCCAAAAGGGGAAAAAAAATTTCATGTATCAGCACTTTTTTTGAAAACATCCATCATCAGCAAATAAAAGCTGCAGCTACAGTCAATTTACCATTCTCCTCTGCACTTAGTAGAGAGAACACATCCATATTGCCCACAAGGCTCCTGTTTATATTGACTGTAGGAGTGGCTTTCAAGAGCAATGAGGATTTTACACTTGCTGCATAGTGTCTTGTACTTAAGCTATGCTCATTTTTGGGAAGGAACGTACCCAGTCCTGAAGCTTAGAAAATAAATATAAAATGAAAGTTAATGTGAATCCTGTATATGTGTGTGCATGTGTGTGTGTGTGTGTCTCAAAGCAGTACGCTGCCCAGTGCAGACTCTCCGTACCCCATGCTGGTGCTGACAGGTCCTCAAGGCTGCGGGAAGAGAGAATTGGCTCACAGACTGTGTCAGGAGTTCAACGAATACTTCGCTCATGGGTCAGTCTTAAAAATTTTTGCACACACAGCACAGCCACATGCTGAGAACTCAGAGATACTGTCAATTAATAGTACTTGACCTCACAAAACTCTGCAGATTGAACCGCTGATATAACTTTCCTACTTTGTGCTTTGTAAAGCTACATCTCAGTGTGCCATAGCTAGTGGCGTTAATGTTGTGACAAGCAAAGCAGCTCATTGTATGCATTCTTTTGTAGGTTTTACTCACTGCTGTGCAAACAAAGAGTTGGTTCTGCTGAACCAAAACAGACACTTGCATGTTGATTCCCTGCAGGATTTAAAGTATGAGAAACCCTTCAAGTGCTGATATATACAGGTGCTGGTCATATAATTAGAATATCATGAAAACGTTTATTTATTTCAGTAATTCCATTCAAAAAGTGAAACTTGTATATTATATTCATTCATTACACACAGACTGATATATTTTAAATGTTTATTTCTCTTAATTTTCATGATTATACCTGAATACTAATGAAAATCCCAAATTCATTAAACAAGAAAATTAGAATATTGTGGAAAGGTTCAATGTTGAAGACACCTGGTGCCACACTCTAATCAGCTAATTAACTAAAAACACCTGCAAAGGCCTTTAAATTGTCCCTCAGTCTAGTTCTGTAGGCTACACAGTCATGGGGAAGACTGCTGACCTGACAGTTGTCCAAGAGACGACCATTGACACCTTGCACAAGGAGGGCAAGACACAAAAGGTCATTGCAGAAGAGGCTGGCTGTTCACAGAGCTCTGTGTCCAAGCACATCAATACAGAGGCGAAGGAAAGGAAAAGATGTGGTAGAAAAAAGTGTACAAGCAATAGGGATAACTGCACCCTGGAGAGGATTGTGAAATGAAACCCATTCAAAAATGTGGAGGATATTCACAAAGAGTGGACTGCAGCTGGAGTCAGCGCTTCAAGAACCACCACGCACAGACGTATGCAAGACATGGGTTTCAGCCGTCGCATTCCTTGTGTCAAGCCACTCTTGAACAAGAGACACCGTCAGAAGCGTCTCGCCAAGGCTAAAGACAAAAAGGACTGGACTGCTGCTGAGTGGTCCAAAGTTATGTTCTCTGATGAAAGGAAATGTTGCAAGTCCTTTGGAAGTCAAAGTCCCAGAGTCTGGAGGAAGAGAGGAGAGGCACAGAATCCACATTGCTTGAGGTCGAGTGTAAAGTTTCCACAGTCAGTGATGGTTTGGGATGCCATGTCATCTGCTGGTGCTGGTCCACTGTGTTTTCTTAGGTTCAAGGTCAACGCAGCTCTCTACCAGGAAGTTTTAGGGTACTTCATGCTTCCTGCTGCTGACCAACTTTATGGAGATGCAGATTTTATTTTCCAACAGGACTTGGCACCTGCACACAGTGCCAAAGCTACCAGTACCTGGTTTAAGGACCATGGGATCCCTGTTCTTAATTGACCAGCAAAGAGGAAGATACGATACGCCAGACCCAACAATGCAGAAGTAACTATCAGAGCAACTTGGGCTCTCATAACACCTGAGCAGTGCCACAGACTGATCGACTCCATGCCACGCCGCATTGCTGCAGTAATTCAGGCAAAAGGAGCCCCCACTAAGTATTGAGTGCTGTTCATGCTCATACTTTTCATTTTCATACTTTTCATTTGGCCAGCATTTCAAAAAATTCTTTTTTGTATCGGTCTTAAGTAATATTCTAATTTTCTCATTTAGTGAATTTGGGATTTTCATTAGTATTCAGTTATAATCATCAAAATTAAGAGAAATAAGCATTTGAAATATATCAGTCTGTGTGTAATGAATGAATATAATATACAAGTTTCACTTTTTGAATGGAAATACTGAAATAAATGAACGTTTTCATGATATTCTAATTATATGACCAGCACCTGTGTATATATATGTAAATATCCCATAAACATAATATATAGTAAACAATATGGAAGAAAAAATATGAACTTGAATACATGAAAAATAATCGTGACATTTTAAATCTATCTCAATATAATACTCATGCCATATGTTCGTAGACTGAGCACTCATTGTAGTCATTACTTCTAACCAAATTGTCAATGAAGTGATCCATTTATAATAGCTGGAGCCTATGTATGTGTGAGGCTAAAGCAGTTTCAGAGAAGTCAAGTCAGAATCTTTGTTCTACATTGTATGTTTATTACAGGTCTTTTAACCTGGCACTGCAGGATATATCCAGAATAAAAGCCTCGGCTGCAGCCCTGCCAGGAAACACTCACCTACGAAGCACAAATGGGGAATATCATACTGAAAAAACTACATAATATTTTGAAGAAGCCTGTCAAACTCAGACAGCTGCAGGTTGCTTTTGTCGAACTTAAGAATACATTTTTCTGCTGAATTATTACAGTGACCAGTCATTCATATTTAACAAGATACAATACATATGGATGTGATTTTTTTTGGGAAGATATACTTGGAAAGAAAAAAAAAAGGAACCTCCCCTTTTAGACGAGAGGGAAAACACATGCAGCGCCTTGCAAGTCAAACGTATATCTGAGATAATGACATATTGCTGGCTCTCACCTGGTAGTTGGTTGGACTGTCTGGAACACTTTAAAAAACCAGAGGTCTTAACCCCCCTACTGCCCCCCCTCTATTGGTTGCAGGTCTGGGATTTTTACATACACTTTTTAAAATATTATGGCTTGATATGATTCTCCAGATTACAAGTGTTTGCGTCTGTGTGTGTCTGTTTCTGCAGAACATGTCACACCACAAGGGCGCCCTACTTTGGAGAGGAGAATGGACTTGATTACCATTTTGTCAGCGAGGAGGACTTTCAGAACATGATTCCTATGGTGAGTTAGCTTGAAATTAAGTGTATTTTTTTCTATCACGAACCCTCAGAATGATCTGCATTTGCCAAGTTTATTTTGACTTGCTTATGTGGTCATCAGTCATATACTAATTCTTGCCCACAATTTAATTAAATATACCTTTGGTTTTCTTGAAAAGCTGTTTGATAAGCATGTTGGATTCACACATCTCCTTCAGCAAATTTCAAATTGATTTCACTGACTGGCTTTAACGAGTAAAGTAGTTGAGATAATTAGTTTTACTCGGGTGGATTGATTTTACTTTAACTGGCTGATATTTGGTTTAAAAATGAAACCTTTAGTGGATTGGAGCTTTCTTAAAACGCTTTAATGGCCATGGTAATTAATTTTTCTTTCAGGATGGGTTATCACAGCATCTCCTACAACTCTTGCTATCTAAGTGATGATTATTAGTCTGAAATGAATGACAAGGATACTAAAAGCTAATGGAGTTAAAGCCATAAACATGCAGACACCGGTCAAAATTTTGCCAAAAACACCCTGAGGAGTAGATGCGTATCATTTATTATGCAAACCACAACTCATGTCCTTTGAAGATACCAAAAGCATCAACTTACAGCTTTCTTAGTAAGAAAAATGGGTCTTTAGGTCTTGGACACATTTGTTTTCCATCTTGTCTCCCTTGTCAAGCTGCCTGTTACGTAACGGTGGCCGAGGATTATTTATAGAGGTCTGGGTCATGAAGTGATTTATACAGGAAGGGCTTTGATGCTGGTATTGATGCCTTTTGTCTACTCCAACAGAGGTTAACTTCACAGTCTGTTCCTCCCTCTACTTGATTTGTCCTTTCTTCTCCTCCCTCCATTTTTCTGTTGATAGCTTCTTGGTTTATTGCCATCTAGTTTTTCCTTTCTTTCTTTCCATGCTCTCATGTGTCAGAAGTCCTTTACAATCCGCAAATGTGTTTTTTTAAGCAACTATGCAGTCATGAAACCACTTCTTGTGGCTGTTTTTTTTTGTTTGTTTGTTTGTTTTTTTAAACATAAAATTAACACCAATCAGCCGTTTGTGGACCTGGTTGGTTGAAATCTTTCCTGTGCCATAAACACAATTGAGCGTGCTGTATAATTTTTTGCCTGAAGAGCTGTCTGGTAATATGTAATCACAAAAATCATATTTGTATAAAGCATTAAAACTAATGGAAATGTAGTAGAACGTTCATAAAATGTTGGTTAGCAAAACACTGGTATGTAAATTCTTGATTGACCCTGTGCATTCGGGAGATATATGGTATATTTTATGTAAATTTACAGTGAAAACCAGCTCATTTAAAATGTGAATCAAAGTCAGTGAGTGCAATTTTGCAGCATAACTTTTGCTTTTTAATCTCTTTCAGATTGTATGCACTTTTATAAGGCAGAGATGACTTCTTAGGAAAAAATCTAACAAAATAAAGCCAAGTTAGATTACTATTCTCCTGTTGGCATGCTGTTTACTGCCACTGGCTCCACATGTGATGGTTTGTGCCAGTTTCAATGTAGAGTTAAAAACAATTGTGCGCTCTGTAGTTGTGATTTAATTTAGTCAAATTAGGCCTCTGTAAAATCCAACACAATACTCAAGAATTACATTATACAGAAGTTGTATAAGGTAAATGTCTCGTGAGACCCAAAACAATTAGTTCTTGTTTTATTCCTGAATAGACTTTTACAATCACAAAACAAAGAACAAGGTTGGTGTTATTTGAGGTTGTCAACTGTATTGGATTTGGCCATAAGCTTGTTGAGAGTTATAAATTATGCTGTTCAAATAAAACTGCTCCAAAAGAAGGCAGACAAAAGGTCAGAGGTCATGTGTGAGAAGTAACAAAGAGATTTTTGCCCTCCCTACCAGGTCAAGAGTTCAGGTCGCAGGTGGGCAAATGACTTCAGGTTGTTAATCCTGACAGAACTTGTTGAGGTTGTGTATGCATGTTAAGTACTATGTCCATTTTAGGAGGGAAGCACATCTCATAACTGTGGTAATAACACAGTGAATAGTGGGGCAATAAAATGTTGCCCTCATTCTTTTCCCCTCATAACTGGAAATTCCGTTTCAGGGTAAGTTTATCCAGACCTTGCAGTATGGGGGTCACAGCTACGGTCTGACCAGGGATGCCATAGAGGACGTGGCTAGAGAAGGACTGGCCTGCTGTGTGCACATGGAGCTGGAGGTCAGTGTAAAGAAAACTCATGGTCAATAAAGTTGTTTTTTGTGAATTATACAAATACAATGCCATGCAAAGTTACAATAAAGAGAATATCAGTGCTTGTTTAGAGAAATGCGAATGTCTGTCCTCGCAGGGTGTGTTCAGTCTGAAGAACAGCTACTTTGAGCCTCGATACATCCTCCTGATTCCCGTGCAGGTGGAGACGTACATGGGCCACCTGAAAGACCGTGGACTCTATACCCCAGCACAGATTGATGTTGCGGTGTCACGCATAGAGCTCTACGCCAACACCAACAGGCAACGTCCGGGATTCTTCGATAATGTTATCCCCTGTGGTACTGAAAGGAAGCACTTTGTCACTGAAGTATTTTTATAATGGCTTTATGGGGTTTTAATATCCTCCCGTGGTTAATCAGATTTATTATAATAATTAGCCAATTAATGTATAATTGCAGTACAAATTGTTACAAATATTCACAATAAATTTCAATAACCCTCAATTTGGAGCTATGAATACACTTAGAGGATTCCCAGGGGGGACAGTTTGATTTTTCAGCCTCAGATATGAAGTTAATAAAACAGAAAGTCTGAATTATTTGGTGTGTGTCTGGTCACAGGCAGTTTGCTATAATCGTGTCTTACAAAGCTTTAAAAAAAAAAAAAAACTCTAGCTGTCCAAGTATCATCGGTATAGCGCTAGATGGATTATCACTCTTCAGTAAAATCCATACTCTACACTTTCAATCCAATTACCACATGTATTAAAGGCACGTAGCTGCGGAAAGCGGTGTTTATCATTCCCTCATGATAGCACTCAGACGTGTTAGCTGTTTTCTTAATGAGATGAACATACAGGGAGTGTGGGACACTCATCACTTTTATGCACTGCCAGCCAGCACCTCATTACACTAAGGTCATCATCCCCATATCTTTGATTCATTACTGTTTGATGGGAGATGCATGTGCTCTGTTCACAACCAGATTTCATTTTGTATGTGTGCATGAGAAGATGATCGGGAGGAAGCCTACCAGACGCTGAGACAGGTAGTGAAGAGCTACCTGTTGCTAGAGGAGCAGGAGGAAGGCGAGAACAACAACAGAGCATCTCCTGACAACACCTCCACAGGTGTCTGTGTCTGTTTGTTCAGATCATCATTAGCAGCTTTCAAGGCATCACAATGGTAGTATTGTGAAGCAAGACACAGGCAATACAGTGACGTTTTGCAGTTTGTGCTCTAATTTAAGACCCCCTCAGTGGAAAACTTTTTTTTTTTTTTTTTACCTTGTTTACATGTCCGCATTGTGTTTTTTTTTTTGTGTATATGTATATATGCCAGAAGACAGCATACTTAAGCAGTCAATGCCATGATTGAGCATTTTCACCAGTCAAACATCAGGGATACAACTTTCTATATCACTTTTCCTCTTTAGAATTTGTTTCAAACATGTAAGATTGAATTACTTCAATTTCACAGCTTGCCATTGTGTGAAAGAGTAGTTTTTTTTGAAGATGTAGATCCCCACACTCTAGAGGAAGCAACAACTTAGATTTACCTCTAAGTTGTTTCAGGGAAAAGGAAAATATGTAATTTTGACAAATTAGATTAATTTTAGGGGTTAATTCATGACTGAGAGACCAAAGAGACTCTAAGTTACATGTCACAGGAAGTATTACTCTATGTGAAGACTGTTTACTGTATATATCATTTCAACAATAGTTGGGACGAGGCTTTGTTCAGTCTGTAAGTAATACTTAAGTGATGTACAAGAAACCTTGTGTTCCAATTTGTTGCATTACTGGAACAGTAGAGTCCAGGGACTTCGGAGCTTGATCTAAGCTGAGGTCTGCGGCATCAATTTTAATAATTATTCTTCAATCTGTCCCTGTTTATTGTTTAAATGCAAGGTGCCCCTTTAAATGATTGTTTAGATTGTCACAGATTAGATTTGGCGGTCTATTTTCATGTCGAAATAGAGCACGATGTTACACAGTTCTGACATATGTATCTGTCTTTCTCCGCCTCAGGTCAGGAGCCAGAGGAGAAGCCGCCCTCAGCCCCGCCAAGGTCAGGATCAGACTCCCTCACGTCACACTCTGACACAGCTCTTGACCCCTCCGATCCCTCCTACAGATCCTATTTCACCAAGATCCAAGCAGAGCTCAGCCCTCAGAAGAGCCCTGCTGTAAGTTACAGGATGTCTGATGAAAAATGTATGGGTAATGAGGCCTGTAAGTGAATGTTAAATATACATCTCGACTCAAATTTATGGATAAATAAATCCTTCACTGTCTGCTAACAAGATGCCTGCTTTCCTTTTCCTCTTCATCCTACTGCCATGCATCATCCATCCTGCATGCTGCTTTCCTTTTTTTGTTCCCTTCTCCTCTCCGTTTATATAAACTTCCACGTCAACTTTCCTCGTTTTCTTTCACCTCCCTGCTTCATTCTCCTACTCATCCTCCTCCTCTTCGCCTCTCCTCTCTGCAGGAGCTAGCCTCCATCAGGAGGCGTGAGCAGCTGGTGAGGGAGGCAATAGTGGGGAAGAGTCCAGGGGTCTACAGCCAGCTCTTCAAAAGGTACAGATAAGTAGTGCTCAATCCACTGCACTCCACGCTTAGTTTCAAGTGGGCACTCTCAGCTGGGCTAAATTGGTTTAATTGGCGCACTTGTCCTAATTGTGTTGTGATGGTTTGTTTTGAGTGATTGTTTGACATTGAGGGTGAAGTAGCAGGTGCCCAAATAATTTCAATCTAACTGTTCGTTAATATGATGGGCTCTTTTAGTGGCCCCTCTCCACTCATTTGTCCTAGAATACACCTGTCACCAGTTATAACCACATCAAATATGAACGAAAGCACAATGAAGGGCCCCAGATTTTATTCAAGCGTGCATGTTAATATGAGCAGAGTTGATTATCCAGGTGACGGTGGAGAAAAATTATTGAATTTAGTCTTTTTGTGTGTGTGTGTGTGTGTGTGTGTGTGTGTGTGTGTGTTCTCAGTACTGCTCAAACGGCACCATCATCACTACACAATCAGGATCTTGGCTCCCATTTTCATGAGGACAGCAGGTACCACACACCCATAAGCACGCACATGCACAAACACACAAATGCACATACACTTAGAGGTGTTGACACCCGGTCAATGCAATCAAACGTAAGACCAGATGTGACTGTATGAAGTACCGGATGTAAAGAAACCAAGACATATCTCAAAGTTAGATAATCATCTCTACATACATAAGAGTAATTGATTTATGAGGTGGTGCGAGAATCCAGAGGAAGTATTGTGGTTTCATTACAAACAATCATGTGCTGAAGATTTAGTAGCAGGAAACGGCTTCTGTAGTAGTATCCTTGACTCCCCAGGCCTGTTTTTACAGCATATGCTCACTTTTATAGAGCTCCTTTTACTGGTACAAGCAATGTGGGGACAAATCTAAACACACATCCCACACATGCACAGACACACACTCGCAAACACACAAACACACCCACTCATAAATTCTGGTTTTATTGCTTTTGCTGCTTTTCGACTCCCCTGTGTGTACACTTACACTTCAGCAAATGGACGCACTGCACAAATATGTATTTAATCAGTCAGACTTGGCATAATGTGTGTGTGTGTTTTGAGCACGCAACAGCACCTGTTCAATTACTGAGGCATAAATGTATTTTATTATTTTTCGCAAAATATGACATTTAAGATGCATACATGCAGAGATGTATGTTCGGTCAGAATTAATTTGTTCTCACCAGTGATACAAAACATCCTCAGAAGGCAAGTTTCATCGAACTTGTTGAAAATCTAGAGGTTCTGTCATCGCAGCCTGAGTGATTCATGCCCCCGGTGTGTAGAGTAAGCATTACTCACCTCTTTAGTATTTCTATGGAGGATTCCAGCCATCTGTCTACTTGTTGGCACTGCTCTTAATAGGGATGTGTCTTTGCCTGTGTGTGTGTCAGAGGATTGTGTTGGTGGTGTATGGTCGAGCTTAATAGAAGAGTCTATATAAGTAAAATAAACAACAATGTATTTTACTCATCTAGACTAAAATAACCGCAGTCAACCTGTTTGTTAGTTGAGTACCGGTAGTCATCCTCAGATTCCTATCATGTTATGGTTGCATTCGGGCAAAAATACTGCGAGCATCCAAAGCCTTGATTTGTACAACCATGAAAACACAGAGGACACAAGAAAGACACTGTTCCTGTTCCTAGTATAAGAGTGAAATGTTCAAAACCACATTCTGCCAATGTTTCTTTTTGAAGAAGCTTTTTCTCTTTATTTATTTTTTTCTTCTTTTTAGAGTATGTTTTTCTCACTTTTGCCGCTAGTCCCTTTGAACAGCCTCATGGTCGTAGTGCTGCCTTCATTACACCTCTCACTGCGTGAACTCCCTTTTTTTCCTACTTGTCTCTTTTCCCCCACTCCTACCTTTGGTTTTGTCTTTCCCTCCGCCCGTCCTTTTTCCTCCTTTCACAAGCAGCTCCGATGAGTCTCGTGCCAGCTCGGCTCTGTCGGTGCCCAGTTCGGCCGGAGCCTTGTCTGGCTTCGTGGAACCACTTGATACCTCTGTCCTGGGACACACTGTGGAAACAGCCAAAGGTTATTATTTCTTTTAAAAAAACAGCATTTCAGGTCATTTTTATGTTGCTATATATAGAAAGACGAAGAGAAGAACGATTTTTAAATTTATGGAAGCCAGAGAAAAAGACAGTTTAATATGTAATTCTTAACTAAATCATTTTAAAATTATATTTTCAACTTTAGTTATTCATTGTAGTTGCAAGATACGATGCAACCAAAGCAGCGCATCTGATTACAAGATCATCACAGTGCTTGAAAAAAGTTCTGAAAAATTGTTGATGTTTCTCAGTCAAATCAAATCAAATATTTTCATTTCAGATCCGGCTGCATCAGACCAACCACCCGACACCCCTCGCCCAGGAACAGATCAAGCACCTGCAATTGTGTCTCCCTCTTCTGAACGACGCCCAGGATCCAACGTTAAGCCCATCCTGCCACCGATCCCCACTGGGCGCAAGACCCCTGCTGCACCCAGTCCAGCTCCATCACCTAGACCCGACCCAAACCCAGCAGTCGAAGAGGGAGGAGATACAAACATGGAGGAATAGCTCGATATCTGACATCTAAGAAAAGCTGCAGATAGTTATAATAACAGAATACTATTTTGTTAGCATTAGAAGAAAATGAGATGAAGTAAATCAGTCAGTAAATATGTAATAGTACATGATTATATATATATATATTTAAGCTCGGCCTCTGTAACTACAAAAGTTGTCAGTCAACCACAAAACTAAGTGTTTGTTGTTATTTCACCGCAAAATACATGAACTGTGGTGTGATACATTCAAGCCAAACAGTTGAGATTAGATTTCATTGTCAGAACTTGCCTGTTCCTGTGTTCTTTCACTCATGCTGCAGCACGTCTGGATATTTTGCACTTGCTATGCTGTTTACCCTGAGTGATGATATTAATGACCATAAATACAGTGGCTACATCATAATTACAGGCGAACTTGTGCTCCTCTTTGTGTTTAATAACTGGCTTACTGCCCTAAAGGTGCGCACTGTTGACACACATAATGATCGAGACTCATGCTGATTGGCAAGCATGTCTTTCAGTCATAATATATATATAGCAGGCTTTTGAAGGACTCCGCTCATAAAGCAGGTATTTGCTCACCTCTGAAATGTTCATATATACAAGGTATGTGGTACACGTCATGTTTCTTGAACATAGCATTAATTTTCCTGACAGTGAAGTGGCATTATATTTCCTTCTGCTCAGTAATCTCATCAAATAGGATTCGCCATTGACATTTAGATAGTGATCTTTTATGTGTAGCATGGAGCTCTTGTCACTGGATGATAAATACATCATTAATCTTTATCTCCTCTGATGGGATTATTTATTCAACTGGAAATGCGTGCATATGGAAGTTGTTGACAGGTATTAAACAGCGCACCATCACAAGCAAGTTGCTGTGTTTTCGACAGTTTAATGCGTGTGTGCTCGTGCTATTGTTTGTTGGTGATTCGTAGTAAATAGAAATTGTCACGTGTAACAGATGTGTGCATTTCTTATTTAACTGGTCTGCTTAGGTGCGTGTGGGTGCGCGCATACAGTGTGCATGTTTTGTTTCCTGGACTGTGTGTAGCACCTCAGTTCACACACACACACACACAAAGCACACCTGGCCATCCATCACTGTCTGTCTTCCTCTCAGGCAGCAGATGTTGCAACCCTGTCATAATTCTTTGGAAGTTTGAAGCCAGACAGTGTCTTTAGGGCCCCTGGGGTCTAACCTACTTACACTGCAGTCTGCACCTCACTTTAGCTATCCACGGACTAATATGTTGTCTTCCTGTGCATTAACGTTGCATTAGATGCAGCTACAATATGTGCATGATTATGCAAAACTATGCAGGCCTGTTTAAAGAGGAGTTTTTCATGAGGTGAGAATGAATGAGTGGGAAGTTGTTGCCTCTGTTTTTGGATGTCTGTCTTGTGCTTACCTGTTTGCACTGTTACATTGCACTGCAGCTTTTTTGTTTTATTCTTTTATCTTCCTTTTTTTTTTGGATTCTGAGGGACAGTGATGTCAATCTTGCGTGGAACACACGTTGTATGTGTTAAAACAACTCTACTGGCATCATAATCCTTTGTAAAAACACCGTCCATATCAAAGAAAGTTTAAACAGCATGCAGTATGTGTAATATTACTCACCACGCTGTCTACTCCACCACGCGTCTTCCCACACTTCACCAGCCACCGAAAAACAAACATGTCACACGCTTTCATCTTGGCATAACTCCTCAAGACTAACACTTTTCACTACATAGACAGGGAGAGCACATTCTCTGGGAGAAACAAAGCCTTAAATCTGAGATTAATGTCTGGAGGAAAGAGCTGTTATGGTACAGATATGCAGAAGCACGTTATCAGTTTTCACAAAGCCCAAGTCCCCAATGTTTTGAATTAATTTTTTATGATATTTGTAAGGCCCGAGCAATAAGAGGACGGGAAATTAATCTATATTTTCATTCCAGACAGAACTTTGTAAGAAATAGCAAAAATGGCAAGAAATAGCAGAAATTGGAAGCGACGCTGTATCAGTTTGACTGACGGAGCAGATATCAATCTTAGCTGTAATGCTGCACTACAGTGTGTGAATCAGTTTTATAGAAATAAAACTCTGTGGTTTATTTCCCACCAGGGAAATGCATGTGTAGTACATACATCAGTCTAAAACAGTTTGATCATGCATGATTTAATAACTCTCCTTTGCTAAATCAAACTGTCCTGTACCACATTATACAAACTGTATGACTCCCTATGATACTCTATACTGTACTATACTGTACTATACTTTACTAGAGTCCTATATATGTGCTATACTATGCTATTTTATTGTTTTTTCCTTTCTGTTTTTCTATACTGTCTATTGAAAATTACAACACCTCACAAATATCTGAACCCAGGATGCAAACAGGATCATAACTCACAAATTTCCATTTCACTGCATACATATGGGCTCTATCCAAAGTTGCCTCCTATTTATATATAGCGTATCTTTACACTCATTTTATGTGAAAGTCTGTACTCTGGGTGGGAACTCTGTGCACAGTGACGCAAAGAAAAAAAGTCTTTGTGATATGTTTGTGCCAACAGAAATGCATAACTTACTGTTATAGGGCACTACACTTGTAAGATTTCTATTAAGAACCGTGTACATAGAAAGAAAAAAAGCTAAGTATCCTAAGTAATGTCCATTTATTCTCTAGATAAAAATAAATAAATCTCTGGAAATGTTTGTAATGTTAAGAGATGGTCTTTAGACGGCTAATGTATTCAGTCATGTTCAGCAGTCAGCTTCAGTTTAATATAATGATACTCTCACATCTCCGGAGCTATTTCCACACTCCATTTCACTGTGCCAACACAGGATGAAACTCCGACTCAACCTCTTCTCGTTTTCAGATAGTTCAGTAAATGATCTGGCTTGTTTGAATTTTTTTTTTTTTCAAAAACAATCCGAATTGTCAACGGTGGGCCTAAACTCTGTTACTCTGTGCAAATATAGTGCCATCTCTCGAAGTCAAACACAGACTTACTTAGAGCTTAACTCTATCTAGTCTGACAAAGAGCCCACGCACTATTTTTTTCTAACGCCAGGCTTTCTGATCAGGTGGACGCAACAGCCGTGTGAGTGATATGAGCTGCCACAGTGTACCCAAAGACTCCATTATGCTCTCGCCGTACAGTGAAAGCGATTTGTTACGAGATACTGGGCAGCAGTTCCAGTTAGTTTCCCGTACTGTGGGCTTTCCTTTTAAAGATGTCTTGTGAAAAGGCGGGAGGAGAGAGGGGAGGGTTATGAGGCTGAGAATGGACTTGGAAAATAGCCTGTTAAAGTACAATAATATGTTACAGGCACAGATGTTAACGAAAGCTTCCAAGTGCACAGTTTGAGGGAGGAGCAGGAACACGCCCACTCATTTCAAGCTGAAATATATACATTCTTCCTACAGAGATGAAATAATGCTCTCTATCTTTGATGCTGCCCAGCACCCCGAGCAATAGACTTTGGTTGTCTTTGTTTCATCATTAAAAAATTCCCCTTTTCTTAGCATAAGATAAGCACATGTGGTTCACAGACACTGGGGAATGGAAATATTTGTAAGCCTACATTAGTATTTCTTTTTGTGTACATCTGTTTTGACAGTTCCTTTGGAAAAAAAAAAAAAAAAGATTGCTCCGGTGAAGTACTTTCAGAATGGACACATGTTTTGGATTAGTGCTGAACTTGCTGTTTTGATTACATTTGCCAGAAGTACTGTACGGTGGAACAGTATGAATGGCTTTCTGAAGCACCTACATGTGTTTCACTCTCCACCTTGATCTTGCACAAAGTTGGGGCTGTTTCTCAAATAAAAAACAAAAAAAACCACATAACTTTTTCAAAGAAGTATTTACTCCCTGTAGAAAGTCATTTGTTACACAATTCATCACATAACGTTTGCATCACAATCAAAATTGCCTGCGATGCATTGTCACATATTGCTGGGTAACAGAATAAAGTTGAACTGCACATGTGCCCATATATCAGCACAAATCTCTATCCTTCTGAACTTTCTCTTATGCTTTGTATTCATGTATTACCCATTGACTGTTTATAAAGATGTATAAACCCATATATTTACTGAACAGTGGTTTAGAAGTTCAGTGTGGTAGCACCCCTAATTTGTCATAATTTGAAGCCTTAATATAATTTGAATCTGTGACTTAAATTAAAATTCAAACAAAGTATAATTGTCATTAAAGGGAATATTACTTTTAGAGACTAAAACTGTTTATTGTATCTGACTGCAAACACGTTTACTTCAGCTGGAAAGTTGTACATTTTAATACTGGAGTCAATAGGGATTGACCTATTGACTTTCAGAGCCGGCCCCAAGTGGCTATTCGTGGAACTGGAATTTTTGGCATTTGAGCGTTGTCGTTATTTTTCATCCCCCAAGCTGAGGTTGCTACTTGGTGTTACCACAAAGTCAAAGTTGGTGAAACACAGGCCAAACATAACAGAAAAAACATCGTGACAAATGAAAAGGCTCTGTTACATGTAGAAGAGAATCAGGTGACTCTGGTAGTATATGGTACTGTCTTAAAAGAAAATGAGTCATGGTAACTGCAGTGTGATTACTGAATTTAGGAACAATAATGTGTTAGATTTCTGTGCTGTAAAAATGAAGAGGTAGTGCAATTACAGTAATATGTTTCCCTCAACGCTGGTCTTTTATAGCATTATCATTTCATTTCATCCTAAATGTCGCTGTTGTTTAAATGAAAAGTAAAAAGAAAGCCAAACTGTACATGAAGTAGTTTGAAGTTCCTCTCAAGTCGTTGTGTAAACTCTTAACACTATCTGTGTTTCAAAGTGACATATTTAAAAGCTGTTTTTTTTGTTTTTGTAACCATGAAAATGATCCATCCTGCCTTAAAATGGCTTTAAGTAACATTACACAGTCGCTTCCTCCAAAATGTGCAAATCTCCAGCACACCAGCTCACCTATGACCCTGCCAAAACACTTCAAAACTACTCTGTGCTATACAACGGCATGTTAGGAGTCTGCAATAGGAGTAATTCAGCCATTCATGTTCAAACCAAAAACCGACTGAGGAATAATGATGCAAAAAGTTCTACCCTGAATCTGTGCTTTTGAGCCTGTCATCGATACACTGCAGTTAAAAGGTAAAAATGCTCAGTCAATGGCACTGACTGCTTTCTTTTGTTAAAGATGTGTCTTCTAGCATATAAAAAAAGACACCATATGGACAAGTTAA